CTGATACACACCTGATACACTGGAGGTATACACACCTGATACACACCTGATACACTGGAGGTATACACACCTGATACACACCTGATACACTGGAGGTATACACACCTGATACACACCCTGATACACTGGAGGTATACACACCTGATACACTGGAGGTATACACACCTGATACACACCCTGATACACTGGAGTTATACACACCTGATACACACCTGATGTTGTTGTTGTTGTTTGTTGTAGGACTGTAAACAGTGACAGTCTGGACCTGGAACAGGAAGTAGATCCTCTGAATGTCGACCACTTCTCCTGCACGCCGCTGGTAAACACACACACACACACACACACACACACACACACACCAACATGCTTCAGAGGTGATGTGTGTGCTGTGCTGTTGCCGTGGTGACCAGCAGTTTGTGTGTTGCAGATGTGGGCGTGTGCGCTCGGCCACCAGAGGGCAGCAGAGCTCCTGTACAGCTGGAACAGTCTGGCTCTGGGGATCCCTGATTCGCTGGGACGCCTGCCGCTCGCCGTGGCTCGTTCCCGCGGCCACACTCGCCTCGCCACGGTGCTGGAGGAGCTGCACACGCAGCGCACACACGTGATGTCCAGGGACACGCACACGCCTCCCGCCGACACGCACACTCCGGCCACGCCGCAGCCACAGCTGCCGCCGTCTCCTCTGTCCACCAGCCCCGACACAGGTATCACTCACCGGCTGCTGCTCACCTGACACCGTTCCAGCTCTCTGATTGGTTGTAACGGTGTCCCTCTCCCCCCTGCAGGTCTGAGCTCCTCCAGCAGCCTCCCCTCCCCCAGCGACCCCTCCTCCCCCTCCCCCAGCTCCGCCTACTCCAGCGGCCCCGCCCCCATGGACACCTCCCCCTCCTCACCTTCATCTCCCTCCTCCTCCTCCTCTTCGCTGCCCGTCTCCCCTCCCTCCCCCTCCTCCCTCCCTCCTGTGTCCGTGTGGGGGGAGGAGCCAAACGCTGCCTTCAGTGCAGGTAACACAGGTAACTGCTGCTCACTGATGTGCCCCTGACCGAGTGAAGCGTGTCATTGATCCTCTGATCGATCCATCGCCTGCAGGTTTGGCCCCCGGCGGCTCCAGGGACTCCCCGCTGTACCTGATGGACTACGAGAGCGCCTCCCCCGGACACGCACACGGCTACGGTCAGACGGCGGCCGGCCGGCCGGCGCACACAGCAGCGACACTGGAGGAGCAGCTGCTGAGCTACAGCGAGAACGCCGAGAACGAAGGCGAGGAGGAAGAGTACCTGGAGGAGGAGGTGCTGCAGGTACGACTCTTCACAACATCTGGCCTCCCACACATCCACCAACCACTGACCCTGTTGCTATGGTTACCCTCTTCACTCGGCAGGTCGACATGGCGACGCTGGCGGAGCAAATCATCGAGGCGACTCCAGAGCGAATCAAACAGGAGGACTTTCCCAGGGGGGCGGAGTCACCGCTCAGAGAGAGGCGGGACAACCCCGCCATACAGGACACCTGGCTGGCTACCTACCTGGAGACGGTCGACGCCCACACACACTCCCCGCCCAGGTCAGTGTTACCGTGGAAACCAGCGTTCCCTGTGCATTATGCTTGACAACAGGTGTGGACGGCTGAATGTGTGTGTGCTGTTTCAGGCGGGTGTGCCCCCCCTCACCCCTCAGCGCTCTGGCCCTCCAGAGGCTCCGCCCCCCCTCCTCTGCGGCATGGGCGGAGTTCCTGAATGCCTCGGCCAATGGGAAGATGGAGAGAGACTTCGCCCTGCTGACGCTGACGGACGGCGAGCAGAGGGAGCTGTACGAGGCGGCCAGGATCATCCAGAACGCCTTCAGGAGATACAAGGTGAACACGGGACCACAGGAGAACTGATCGATCATCAGATATCAATCAGTGACGGTGCAACTCACCTATGAAGCCACATAGTCTGTCCCTCAGAGAAGTCATCAGTATGTTGATCAGAAATGATGAAACAGCAGCTCTCTGATTGGTCACATGACTGCCTCTGTTATGCTGTGGGGGTTAGTCAGTCCAGCTAGCTTAGGTTAGCTCAGGTTAGCACAGCTTAGCTCAGGTTAGTGCAGGTTAGTTCACATTAGCTGATGTTAGCTTAGGATAGCTCAGGTTATCTCACGTTAGCTCAGGTTTGTGCAGGTTAGCTCACATTCGCTAATGTTAGCTCATGTTAGCTCATGTTAGCTAATGTTAGCTCATGTTAGCTCATGTTAGCTAATGTTAGCTCATGTTAGCTAACTCAGATTAGCCCTACTAGCTTAGGTTTCTGGCAATGTGATGCTTGTTTCTTGCAGGTGGTCAGTGTGTGTTACTGTGTGTGTTAGTGAGTTAGTGAGTGTGTTACTGTGTGTGTTACTGTGTGTATTAGTGAGTGTGTTACTGTGTGTGTTGCTGAGTGTGTTACTGAGTGTTACCTGTTGTCCACCTGGACTCCAGCCTCAGCTCATCTTGGTTGTGTCTTCAGGGTCGGAGGTTGAAGGAGCAGCAGGACATGGCTGCAGCCGTCATCCAGCGGTGCTACAGGAAGTACAAGCAGGTGTGTGTAGCTGTGCGTCTGTGTGGGTGTGTAGTTGTGCAGCTTCACTAACACTGAACTAACCTGCTGTGTCTCCACCATCTCTCCCTCTGGTAGCTAACATGGATAGCTCTGAAGGTAATATGGCTGCCGTAGACGTAGAGC